TGGATATCAGCTTATCGGGAAATTTTCGTGCAATTCTGTCATAACAGGTTGGGCTATGTGAGGAGCTGTACCATCTTGCTGAAACCACACGGAGTTGAAAGAAATTCTCTTTCGGCGTAATTCTGGATAGAAAAACTCTCTTAAAATGTTCAAGTAACGGTCTCCAGTAACCGTAATGGTGTGACCGTTTTCTTCGAAGAMGTAGGGCCCGACAATGCAGCGTGATGAAACTGCACACCACACTGTGACACGAAGTGGATGCAATTCCGTCTCATGGGGTATCTGTTGGTTGGAATCACTCCATATTCGACAATTTTGTTTGTTTATGTTGCCGTTTACATCGAAATGGGCCTCGTCAGACATGAAAGACAGTTCAACATGTTTCCATCCACTTCCACCATTTCTGCAGCATTCAGTTTGTTGGCCATTTGAATTTTATATGGGAATAAGTTCAAATCTTTGTGCATAATTGACTGTAATGACTGTCTGCTTACACCCATTTGAGCAGATAAGCTTCTCGTCRAAACACGTGGATTGTTTTGTATGGCAGCAGCTACAGCAGCGATTGTTTCCTCCATTCGAACTGAAGGGTTTCGTAGTAAGGTCTTCTGTTGACTATCCCATGCTCGGCAAAATTGTTTACAAATCTCATTATGGTCCATCTGCTCAGAGGATTGTCGCCAAACGTGCGCCTATACTCTCTTTGAACCGAAACTACGGACTCCAGTGCGTGATAGCGGCGGACAATACAAATTCTTGTTTCAGTGTCCCAATTATCCATTTTTGTTAAATGTAAAAGTCAATCTGCAAGAAAAAAAAAATTAACCAAATTCATTAAATAGAAAAAAAGTAATTTAATTTTTTTTTTTTTGGTAGCGGCTTTCATCAGCCACCCTGTACCAGGTAATTGTATTACACCAAAGTATATTTATATATATATATATTATCTTTGGTTAACAGATTAGTCTGCTAGTCTTCCCACTGTGGTGTTCTTGGACCGACTTCACCCTAGCCAGTAAGCGCGGGAATATTGCAAACTCTTCGCTACAACAACATCACCGCTATAACAGGGAGTCACCTGTTGCCTAAACAACAACAGCAGGTGCAGTTAAGAAACTACAACAACATCAAGTGCAGTAGCAGCAGTAATGTCAAAATTGTGCCAAGTATGGGGAAATCAAGCAGGGCTTCTATTTTCAAGTTATAGTTTTAATTCGGAGTTTCCCAACAGCACATAGTGCTGAATAAATAACTTATATTATAGAAGTTTAACGTGGTATTAATAATAACCAAAACTAAACAACAGTTCATGGTGCTGAGAAATAATTGCCGCCCAACACGGATAGAACCAAAACAAGGAATACTAAAATACTGCGGACCACAGTACTACTGCAGGATTATCGAAACCATACCAAGGACTACTGGCATCGTGATCTATAATACATATTATCATGTAAGTACTCAGTGATCAATATAAAAACAAGAAAAAACGTTAACTTCGGTTGCACCGAAAATACCCTTTACAGGTGCATTTCTGTTAGTAACTTTGTCTTCAGTTTGTATTGAAGCTATATGCTATAGTAATTCGTTCTGAACAATTTTTTGGAGATTATATTGTTACCTTAAGCAGTAATCTGTACCTAATTTCGCGAACATATCTTGTTAAATGTGAAAGTTTTCTATACAAGAACTTGATTCCGATCATTCAGTTTGCATGGCAGCTTTATGCTATCGTCAACCGATCTGAACAATTTCTTCGGTGATTTCATTGTTGCTTTAAAAAATAGCCTGTACCAACTTGTGTGAAAATACATTGTGAAATGTGAAAGTTTTCCATACAAGAACTTGATTACGATCGTTCGGTTTGTGTGGCAGCTATATGTTATAGTGATCCGATAAATGAGAAATTTTTGAAGAGCACATGACGTTTGCAAAATTTCAAAACGATATCTTAAAAACTGAGCGACTAGTTCGTATATATACAAACAGACAGACAGACGGACATGGCTAAATCGACTCAGCTCGACATACTGATCATTTATACATAATATATACTTTATGGGGTTTCGGACCCTTCCTTCTGGGTGTTACAAACTTTGTGACAAACTTGATCCACCTTGTTCAGGGTAWAATGAGAAGAGAAGAAAATAAATAAATAAATAAGAAATTTATTGAGGTTAATTCTTAAAAAATAGCGTATAGCTATAAATTAGTAAACCTTCTAAAGTGTACAAATTTTTTTTTTTAAATGGCCCATAGGGCTAAATTTATGCGTGTTTAAATAGCCATTAAATAAGTGCRCTAAAAATAAGTAAAATTGTTGATACAGTCAGGTCATAAGTGACAGCTGCCGTCACTGCAGCTACGGAAAGAACTAGGGCCTCCTTCGAGAGGACAATAGGACAGCCGACATAACGACTAAAAGCTTTAGAGACATCATTAAAAATGGAAAAATATGATGCAGTGACCATAGACTCGACTTTTCGGTGTGACGAATATCTAGAAATATTTAAATGATAATGCGTCACAATGTGACTTTTTGGAAGAAATACATTTTTTGGACGATGATGGGATATTGGGTTTGGCGTTTTTACAGACGTTGACGCAAAAATAGATTTAAAAAAATTAATCCTTCCCTATAAGGGTGGTGAAGAGAAATTATCTTATTATGACTAAAAATGTCAATTAAATATTTGGAAATGGGAGTTCTCCCAAAGAACTAGGAAATACGGAAAAGATTTCTTTTATTTTGGAAAAAAATATTCAAAAGTTTTCGCAAATCCAGATGAGACTTTGGAGTTTAACACTAATGTGGTAGCCACCATTAGGAAAATTGATAACGAACCGATTTATTAGAAGTCTTAAACTTACCCGATGGACGCTTCAGAATTAATAAATCAAATCTACATATGTATAATAATCCTAATCAACCAAAAAAAAAAAAAAAACAAGCAAAGATGGGAACGGAAGGAGGAAGATGAGGTTGGTAGTTGATTTTAGGAAACTGAACAGTTTCTGTCAGACTTCCTATTCCAGATAATTCGGTTATTTTAACTAACATRTTTATGTTTGGCAATAAATTTACAAACATTTTTACGGAGAAAACGATTCAAAAAGATTTATGATCCACAGAAATCCACAAGAGTAACCTTAAGCAATAATTTTTAGTATTTTCTTACATCTTTACAGAGTTATTTTACCACTTTTTTGTACTCAGGGATCCGACAGCAAAATTATTAATATTATAAATCCGACTGCAAAACAGTTATTGAGGGAAATGTAGCAGTTTAGGACACATATGACTACTTAACGCATCGACAACTTTGACGAATTACCTCACAGTTTTGCGGGAAACAGATTATATATATCACGTTTTTACCCAATCACACAAAAAGTTCTTCAGGCAGACATTAATCATATTTTTTGATTGATTGGGGCGGTGAAAATTCACCATAGACAAGCGCGAAGCGTAAACATGATTGCCACTGCGTTAAAATACATAGCCGGAACTCCGCATGTCGACGATTTTAATGAACCTAAATTTAAAGCATACGAATTTATAGAATCCAATGACAGTTAATTCTTTATAAACACCTAGATACAACAGCAAATCGATAAATTGACTGAGAATGTTAACAAAATTATTGCTCATACAAAAAAAAAGCTTACATTGACACTGATTATATTTTCGAATTACCAATGGCTACAAATAGAGTAGTTATAACAAATTTATACAATTCCAAATTCATAGGTAAACTAAATGTTGTAAATCCTATAACTTTGGACACAGATGAAATTTCAAAAGTATTGATCACTGAGTATAAATCAAAGAAGTGCATCGAGTAATAAATTTGTGTTTATACTTAAGTACTGATCCGTTACTCTGTCTGATTCTGTCAGTTCGGTTCATGTACACGAAGCGCACCGTTTGTCTTCAAATCAGCGATAGAGAACAACTTTGAATCAAAAGCGATCAGCCTATACCTGATTTGTTTATGCGTTTCCATCAGCAGAAAATACTCAAAGTGATGCAAACTCATGCTTCAATGATTGAAATAATCGACAGCGTTCGGTTTGTATATCATCCCATAAACACTGATTTAGTCGAGCACTTCTTTTCTATTTCATATACATATGTTTGTATGTATGTATATACATATGTTATATGTATAATGGAAATCTAATAAGTGCATATATACAAGAAATGTATGTATATATGTATATACTCGATGGAATTTCCATCGTTTACGCATCGAAAATTTGTAACAGGAGCACATTTTTTGCCACAGATGATTCAAAGCAGTCCAGYTGAAAATTGTTGTTGTTTGCTGTAGTTATAGCTTTACCAAAATATTTACTCGTATATTTACTTATAGGTTACCCAAAGTTTCACATCAATGCAAACAATCCTCGCAACGCTTTGAACTATCATGATACAATTGGAACCGAAGCCACCCATACCGTTTACTTGATCGTGATTGATCATTACATTGGGGGCATATTTCAGCGTTTTTTGAATGCAATTCTCCACATAACGTTCACACGGTCTACGATGCACAAATAAGAACAGATTGTTCGTGTTGCATCAGTTGACGCTGGCGACTACTCGAATTGATCTATGCTGAACTGAATTGATTTGATTTTTTTCTATCTGTCAGTCTCTTTCTACAGGCCTTTGCCGCTACCAGTCTATGACCAGTGAGCACTCCAATCATGTTTCTTCAGTCTATAGGTGGCAGGTTTAGTAATAATTCAAGAGCCACTGTTGGAGTGGTGTTTATAACTCCCATTATGCACAGCGCTGCAGGCTCTGAACTTCCTATATGTTAACTAAATTAAAAAAGTGCATTATTTCAGAAAATATTTGCAATGCTTTCTTATAAAACTTGCGGTTTTAGTCGAATTTAGTCCGTTTTACTTAATAGTGTTTTTTATCCTAAAGCTGGTGCTCAATGATATGAACTTATTAAAAATATTATGCTTTAATAGGTAATACTTACACACTCTAAAGGATCTATAATAAATATTCCACGTTCATTGACTGCTATAAGAACTCTTACATCTTTGTGACTAACCAAACTCATTAGGCCGCGAACCGGTTGCTCCATTTGCCCGTGGAAAAATACAGCTCTATTAACAAATATTAAAGTTACTTTAAACTAAGTATTCTTAAATTATTTACCCATAAAATGGAAGTGCCCAGCAAAATTCCAAATACTTGCGCATAAGTTTCTTTGTTGTCGCAGTTGAAGGAACACGTTTGAGTTGTTCTAAAAGCTTAACTTCAGCCGAATTCTTTCGACTGACTGGTAACCAAGCCCAACTCATACTCTTTGCAACATGTTTCGGTAGGAATCTTAGTTGGTTTTCTCTGAAAATTATCTCGTTAGTTAAAAGTAAGTAAAATATCCTGTTTTACTGTACCTAAGGAAACCAATGGTGTGTGTATGAGAATTATATGGGCCCAATTCAATTCTTGCCTGTATACCACCTAACATAAAAGCATGGGACGATTCCATTACATATCGACCAGATAAAACATTATACTTGGCTTCTTCGTATAATAACTCTAAAATGCGCTGGTCTCTATACCAAAACATATTGTTAAATTACTTATTAAAATGGATAAAAAAAAATAAATTCGTACTTAATTTTCTCTTCGTCACGTTTTGAGAAAAAAACATTTCGTTTAAGCATTATCATGGGATCATCAAATTTTTTTTCAATTGCATTACCGCTGCTGAATTTGTCTAGTAGAGCTTGCCATGCTACTCTAACCGCGTAAGGTCGGTGATGTGATTTCAATTGTATATCTAAGAGTCCACTCGTCATCCATAATCCAAAAATACTTTGCGCTAGTAATTTGTTCGCAATACCTAACTCTTCACATCCCAAAGCAGCAGCTAGCATTACTTGTGTGGGACATTGAGATGTTCCTTCGATTTCCATATGTACAGCAATGCGCGACATCAAATATACGCATGTCGGTATTACCTAAAATCAATATATCTCATTTGAATATAATTATTATGTTTCTTATATATTACAGATAAACGTATAATATTACTTTTTTTCAGTATAAAATTCCACCTTTCATTTAAAATGTTATTAACAATTTGATACAAGAAAATAATTCAAAGTATACGGACGTGTTTTTTAAATCGCTCTGTGAATTCTGATTTTTCAAAAAATAAACAAACGATAATAATATATTTATTTATTTATAAAAACGTGAAACAATAATACAATTACTTTTCCACGAAAAAAGGAGCACTGGCTGCCAGGACCCTCGGCAGATAATAATATATAAATAATAATAAAAAATTTCAAACCAGTACACCAAATGGTAAAAAGCCAGAAATTCTTGATGGCAACAGATTTGTCTTACTGAGCAAAAAGGTCAACGACGATGCAAAGGGTACCACCACATTCGTGCATGCCAAACCCCGTCCAATATATTTGCGTGAGTGTAGCTCAAATGCGCTTGTTTCCAAAAAAAAAAAAAACATAATAGGCACAAACAATTTTAATAGTGTGACATTGAAAAATGGTAACATAGATGAAATAAAAATTCAACCTTATACTGAAAAAAGTTTCATGGATATTGTAAAATTCTTATCAAATAATAACAAAAATTCCTACTCTTACCAACTGAAGAGTTCTAAAGGCTTAGTTATTGTTATAAAAGGGATAGAGTTTTCGGTAGACTCTAACGACTGCATTCGAAGAATGCGGTTTTATTATTAAATCAGCCGTAAATATTTTTAGCAGGAATACAGTCCGACCACCAATGTTTAAAATAGAATTGATGCCAAATTTTAATGAACCAAAAGAAAACGAAACACATCCGATCTACCATCTAAAATGTCTGCTCCATCGCAGAATATCAGTTGAGGAACCACACAAAACGAATGCACAAACTGCCAAGAGTTTGCACACACGAAATTATACAGGGTGGGTGATAAATTTTGCTACATTAAGAAACTCAAATAATTTTTTTTTCAGTGTATGGA